ACGTTCAATCGGCCTAGACGACCGTCGATCATATTTCTGGGTGAGCGACGAATCCTTCCCAATAGTATTATTTCTGCTATCCAGGCGACTAAATTGTTGAATAGGGGATGTGTGGGATTCTTACCCTATGTAGTGACGAGGGATAAACCTTTGTTGAGTCCTAAGGATGTGCCGGTGGTGAAGAAATTCACCGATGTCTTTCCGGAGGATTTACCAAGGTTACCACCTGCGAGGGAAATTGAATTTACCATCGATTTACTTCCAGGTACAGACCCTATCTCTTTACCACCTTATTGGATGGCACCAGCGGAATTGAGGGAATTGAAGATTCAACTTCAGGAGTTAGTGGATAAAGGTTACATCCAACCCAGCATGTCTCCCTGGGGCGTTCCTATTTTATTTGTCAAAAAGAAGGATGGATCGATGAGACTTTGCATCGACTACCGACAGCTAAACCGAGTGAAGGTGAAGAATCATTATCCTCTGCCTCGGATCGATGACCTGTTTGACCAGTTGAATGGTGTTCAGGTCTTCTTTAAGATCGATCTTTGCTCAGGTTATCATCAGCTACTAATTCGGGAGAAAGATGTACCCAAGATGACTTTCCGCACTAGGTATGGACACTTTGAATTCTGTGTCATGCCTTTAGGATTGATGAATGCACCTGCAGCATTTATGGATTTGATGTACAGAGTCTTTAGACTGTATCTGGACCGGTTTGTAATTGTGTTCATCGATGATATTCTAATCTATTCTAAGAGTGTTAGCAAACACAGAAAGCATCTGAGGTTGGTGCTGGAAAGGTTGAGAAGTCAGCAGCTGTATGCTAAGTTTAGCAAGTGTCAGTTCTGGCTAAACCAGATCAGCTTTCTCGATCATGTAGTATCTACTGAGCGAATTAGTGTGGATCCTCAAAAGGTGTCGGCAATAACTACATGGGAGCAACTGAGGAATGTTACAAAGGTAAGGAGTTTTCTAGGACTGGTTGACTATTACTGAAGATTTGTTAAAGGTTTCTCAGCGATTGCCTTACCTTTGAATAAGTTGACTCGGAAGGAAGTTGAATTTAAATGGGATGAAGATTGTGAGCGGAGTTTTCAAGAGCTGAAGCAGCGTCTCACTCAAGCTCCCATTCTTGCTTTTCCAGACGATAACGGTGAGTTTGAGATCTACACGGATGCCTCTCTGTCAGGTTTGGGTTGTGTACTGATGCAGTATGATAAAGTCATTGATTATGCTTCCAGACAGCTCAAGATCCACGAGAGAAACTATCCCACTCACGATTTGGAACTTGGTGCGGTGGTGTTCACTCTGAAGATTTGGAGACATTACTTGTGCGGTGAGAAGTGTCGCATCTTCACTGATCATAAGAGTCTCAAGTATATCTTTACGCAGAGAGATTTGAACTTGAGGCAGAGAAGATGGATGGAACTTATCACTAACTATAACTACACGATCAAATATCATCCTGGACATGCCAATGTAGTGGCGGATGCACTTAGTCGGAAGTATCAAGGACAACTTGCATCCCTTCAAGCTATTCATGTTCCGCTACTATCGAGAAACGGGCGTTTTGGTGGAAGCAAGTGATCAGGGAGCTTGGTTGGTACACTTCCAGGTTAGACCCATTTTAGTAGGTATGGTCATAGAAGCCCAGGAGCTTGATCAGGAATGTGCTGACATAAAGATTTCGGTGGAAAAAAAAAAGAGGAAAATTTTATTATCCGAAAGGATGGAACCTTGATGTGGGGAAACAGACTGTATGTGCCTCATGATAATGAAGCAGTGAAAAAGGAAATCCTGGATGAAGCGCACCTGTTAGCATATGCCATGCATTCGGGAAACACTAAATTATATCGCATTATCCGTCCGTTTTATTACTGGTTAGGAATGAAGCGAGATATGGCAGATTATGTGTGTAGAGGCATCATTTGTCAACAGGTGAAGGTTGAGAGGTAAAGACCTGGAGGACTGATGCAAAATCTTCCGATACCAGCGTGGAAATGGGAAGACATCACCATGGATTTTGTGTATGGTTTGCCAAGGACACAGTCGAGATTGGACGACATTTGGGTAATTGTCGATTGACTCACTAAGACCGCTCACTTCTTGCCTGTTTGACAGACCTATTCACTGGAGAAGTTGTCGAAGTTATTTATCGATAATATTGTTAGACTTCATGGTGTACCTGTCTCCATTGTTTCAGATAGAGATCCCAGGTTTACTTCCAGGTTTTAGAAAGCTTTTAATATTGCCATGGGTACTCAGTTACTATTTAGTACTGCCTATCATCCATAGACCGATGGTCAGTCTGAGAGGACAATTCAGACATTAGAGGACATGTTGAGAATGTCTGTTCTCCAGTGGAAGGGTAGCTGGGATAGCTATCTGCCGTTGGTTGAGTTTGCATACAATAACAGCTATCATTCGAGTATTGGTATGGCACCTTATAAGGCTCTGTATGGGAGAGTGTGTCAGACGCCGTTGTGTTGGGCAGAGGCCAGCGAACGAGTGTTACTGGGACCAGAGATTGTGGACACTACCAATGCGAACATCCAGCTGATTAAGAGAAACCTAAAAGCAGCGCAAGACCGACAGAAAAGCATCGTGGACAAACATTCCAGGGATCGTGAGTACAAGGTTGGTGACTATGCATTCTTGAAGTTGACTCCTTAGAAGGGTGCTGTTCGTTTTGGTAAGCGAGGAAAGTTGAGTCCTCGATACGTCGGTCCCTATTAGATTACGGAAAGAATTGGTGCAGTTGCCTATAGATTGGAGTTACCACTGGAGTTGTCTCTGATTCACAACGTTTTCAATGTTTCTATTCTTTGGAAATATATATCAGATCCCTCTCATATCATTAAGTGAAAGCCACTAGAAGTAAGTCAGGATGCTAGCTATGTCGAAGAACCAGTGGCTATTCTTGATTGACAGGATAAAGTGTTGAGGAACAAAGTTATCCCGTTAGTGAATGCGTTGTGGAGGAACCACGCTATTGAGGAAGCGACGTGGGAAACGAAAGACCTGATGAGGAGTTAGCATCTATTTTTATTTGCTTAAGGTTGTAAATTTCGGGGACGAAATTTTTATAAAGGGGGTAGATTGTTACACCCAACTGCCAAATATTGGATAATTTCATAAGTCCCTAAAATTTTAATGAAAACTTCATTTTGGTTCCCTAGCTTGACTAAATCTGGACCCTTAATCTAGATTTCTAAACTCCCTCAAACTGCCACGTGGCAGCACCCCAACACTCCTCACATTTCTCTCTTTGTCTTCTACCCCCCGATGACTTCATCTTCTTCTTCTTTCTGTCTCTGCTTTCTCTCCCTTCTCTCTTTTTTCCCTCTTTCACCGAGACAAGTCCAAAATTGGAACGTCGTCTAGATGGGGCACAGCACCAATTGGGGGCACCAGTCGAGGATAAACACGAAATACGTAAAACTAAATAGTAAAATCTAAGGATGAGATTTTACAACATACGACTTTTTATCTTCCACACATCCCTGACAATTTTTGTATGTCGAATTAAATGAATTGAAGACGATCAAATGATAGAAATTAACAGAGGATGTGTGAAAGATAAAATTAGGTGTGTGAATAGCACCACCTAAGTGAAAATCCAAATCTGACATATAATTGTGAATAACTTTCAGTATTGTGGTATTCAATTTGAAAATATTTTTTTTTCTTTTCAGAAATGATGAATGTAACTAAAATAGAGAATTATATATAAGAAGGATATTAAACAAGCTCTTACTTGTATTCCAACATTTTTTTGACTTGGTAAACCCCATTGTATCGTAATCCTTTTGGCAGGGCATAAGTGGAGTGCTTTTTGTTGCAATATTTGCTCAAAAAGAATAATCAACAACATAGAAAATGTTTGCTGAAAACAAATCATTAGTTGTGTCCAATTATTAAGACTCAGAAAAGGTAATCAGCTAAAATGAAAGTTTATGAAAAAAAATTGACAACTGCTTACATGTTGCGTGGGAGAAATCAGTGAATACCTATATTTTTTTTCCCCAAACCACCAACTAGGGTTGCAACTTGGGTTGGGCCAATCCGAATCTGTCAATGTCTAACTCGACTTTAAACCCGAACAAGCGGGTTTTTTTTAGTTATAACCCACCCAAACCCTACCCAATTTCAACCCGTTCATTGATTGGGTTTAGTTGGGTTGATCATTTGCCCATCCATCCCCAACCCGACTAACCAAACCCAATCTAACCAGATTGTAACCCATATCAATTAATGCTTATACTACACCCAAGTGAGCCAAGTCCAAAAACCAATGCCCTTTCTAATATTTTTTAATAAATTACCCTTTATAATTACTTAAACTTTGGGAATAAGAGGTTTTGATTAGTCAGCCGATATTCGTAGTCTCTAAATGCTAAAGCTTTATAGTAGATTGTTAGTCTCCAAAACCTAAATTCTTTGTGTCTTGAAGCAATTGCTCAACAACTTTGATTGATTTATGAAATTAAAGTTAGCTAGTTTTGATGCTACTTGGCTTAATTTTTTTTAGGAATTTTTGGAAACAAAGTTGTTATAAGATTAGACTTGAAAAAGTTAAGCAACCCGAACCCAACCCAAGTGAGCCATAACCCAATTAAACCCCGAGCCCAACTGAACCCGAATGAAACTCAACCCAAACCTGAGCACGAATTGTAAAAGTTGGGTTAGGATTGGGTTGACCTTCCAACCCGCCCAACCCGCTCGAGTTGCACCCCCACCACCAACCCATTACTTAGACTTGGGCTTATAAAGAAAAGAATTGGGATTGGATTTGTGGATTGAGTCGGCGTGGATGGGAGGAGATCATTTCCGGATCTCTCCCACCAAAGCCCACCAATCAATTAATCCGAGTTCTTGAAATTTAATTCAACGGCTAAAATTATTTTAACTTTTAAAATGGCCCCCTATTCATAACTGTTTAATCAAATTTCAGGAGCCGGATTAATTGATTGGTGGGAGCCCGGCGCAGACTTGCCGAAGTTGCATCGGGTCAGCACTAAAGAGTCCCGAAGAGTAGCAGCATAATGCGATACGATATCAGTCTCAGTAAGAAACTCAGCAATCCAAACTCCCGACCCAAATATGGCGTTGCGGAGCCTCACGCTGCCTCTGCCCGCCGTAATCCCGCCATTACCAACACCTTCTTCTTCTTCTCCTCCTTCTCCATATCCTTCTTTCTGGTGTAGTTTCAGACAGAACCAGTATAAACGTTATCCCGTTTGCTCTATCACTCTCCGCCCAAAACCCCTAACCTTTCTCAATCGTCAGACGCAAAGCCCTGTCGTTCGGATGGCTCCCGAGGAGGAAAAGCTGACCCGTCGCTCCCCTCTCGATTTCCCCATTGTAAGTTTCTAACCCATCTCAATCTTTCTGTGGGTAATTTTGTCGAACACTTTCTGTGCTCTATTTTGTGTCCAAAAAGTGGTTTATTTTTTCAGTATTTTCTTATACAAGTACCATAATGCTTGTAATGTTTGCCTGTTGGGATCAATTCACTTAGTCCAGTTGAGCTCTCAGCAGCATGAGGGTTCCATTTTGTTGGGTATTTCATGGGTACTTGGGAACTTATATATTCTGGAAGCAATATTCCAAATGCCAATGGCCTGTTTGTGTAGTGGAACTATCCCATCCTCTGGTGTAAACTATACTTGTGTGTATGTGCGAGCGAGCAGGACGCACATACACACACACGCACATACCAAACTAGGGATCTCTAATACACTCTTGCTTCTTGTTGATTGGATTATCCTTACTTAACATCTTTTGATTGAGTTCTAATAAGTGTACACCGGTGTCTTGCCAATAAGTTAACAAGATTTCAAGCAATGAAATTGCTCAACCAATTTTGTGATTTGTCAGCTAAACATATATGAAATGAGTTGAGTCCTTCCAACATTGTGTTGTCTTAGGTTAAGGCAGCATTGAGAGGTGTTTTTTGCTTATTCATGCTCAAACTATTGAAAAATCCAACACTTTCTGTACTCAAGTTCAGAATACAAGGTGCACTGGTTCGTTTGACCTGGTGCTTGTTGCATGATTTATTAGTCTGCTTCACTCTCCATCCTAACCTACAAGTAACTGTTATGTAAATATAATCTTAGATATAGCATATGCATTCTGGAATGGTCTCGATAAGGATTTCATTGTAGATTACAGTGGGAAGGTAAACATGCTCTTAATTCCGTAGTTATATTCGCCATTGAAAATTTTTCTCATGCATCGTATGGATTATTAAGTATAGGATTGAGTAATTGTAAATTTAGATATGCTTATCTTGTGTGCATTTTCTTGACATTGAAGGAATGGGAACGGCCGAAACCTGCTAGGAGACCAGATATATTTCCCCAGTTTAGCCCAATGAAAACACCTTTACCGCCTCCACTGCCAGCAGATCCTCCTGAAGAAGACGAAGAAGAGGAAGAAAAGAAAGAGGAGGAAGAAGGGGATGAAGATGCAGACAAGGAAACCCCAGAAGACCCAGGGCAGCAGTAGATATGCATCAAACCAGAGTTTGTGGGGCATATTTCACATGTATGTGGTACTGCCTTGCGCGTGTCAAAGCTTTGCCAAGTAGCGAGTGCATCTGCTGAAGGATGAATAGATAGAGTTGAAGTAATTTTTTTGGGAATAATACTGGAACGTAACGCTTGTTGCTACTTAGATATATATAAATAGCAATGCCTTTTTGTTAAGCAAATCAAAATCTTGGTTAATCAGAGTTGCGGGATTTTTGCGTTGTTTCATATTATGTTTCTCTACTTTACACAAAAATAGACCAGCAGGTTGTGCGATATGAGAGCACCAATCTCGAAACCTCATTGATATTTTTTGTGAATAACAAACCAAACCAAACAAGGCAACACTGCAAAGAAAGCTCAAAAAGACAGATCAGACAAGCTTCAGATTAGACAAACTCAATTTATTTAGACTGGGTCATAATGTTGCACACTGAAATTCACTCAAGCTAGATCTAGCGCACATTAGAAACTAGAACAGCGCATAAATTGAAAGACGCCAACACAATAGAGTTCGTAATTACAGCTCAAGATCGATATATTGTATCCCAGCTTGGGGTTGGATAAACCCACTCATTTCTTCCCACTTTTCTTGAGCCCAGCACCTCCGAATGACCCCTTCTGTTGTGCCTTGGCTCTAAGCTCCTTCAGTGCCTGTTTATCACAAGCATGATAATTTCATCAATAATTTATCAAAACACTCGATAAAGGAGCCGGGTTATGGTAAAAATAAACCCACCTTTTCCTCATCTTTTTTCTTCTGAAGGTTGGCCAAATCGGACTGCACAATAGAAGATAAAGATTCTTATTGCAAGGGACATTATATGTAATTTGCTAAATAGTCAAAATGGTCCCTGAGATTTGCATAACTCATCATTTTGGTCCTTAACATTTCAAATCAATAAAAATAGTCCCTGAGATTGTCCATCATCCATCATTTTGATCATTCCGTTAAGTGTCCCGGAGCTCTTGGCTGGAAGTTTTTGGCAATTTTCAAAGCTTCGTAACTCAATCGTTTCTTAACCAAATTTGACCCATAATATATCAAAATGAAGATAGGAAAGTGTAGAATAAGATTATACCTATTTGGAAACTCAATGGCTGTTGAAGATGACCGGAAAATAGCCTCAAAGTTGACTGGTCCGAGAGAAAACTGGAAAACTGGGTAAACTTTAAACGTTCATAATTTCTTCAATACTCAACGAAATCAAATGATTCAAAAACGAAAATAATACTTCTTGACGAGACGAAGAGAATAGTACCTTTTTAGATGGCTAAATCACCGTGGTTTGTCCGTAACACTGCTTAAAAGTGGCTAACTCGAGACCAAGAAGCCACTTTTGAGCTTTTTTCCGGTCAAATCACGGCGATTTAGCCGTAAAAAAAAGTATCATTCTCTTTGTCTCGTTGAGAAGTATGATTTTCGTTTTTGAATCACTTAATTTCGTTGAGTATTGAAGAAGTTATGAACGTTGAGTATTGAAGAAGTTATGAACGTTTAAATTTTACCAAGTTTCCGGCGAGTTTTCAAGTTTTCCCTCGGACTAGTCAACTTTGAGGCTATTTTCCAGCCATCTCCGGTAACCATTGAACTTCCAAATAGGTATAATCTTATTCTATACTTTCCTATCTTTATTTTGATATATTATGGATCGAATTTGATTAAGAAACGATTGAGTTACGAAGCTTTGAAAATTGCCCAAACTTCAGACCAAGAGCTCCAGAACACTTAACGGAGTTTTTAACGGAATGACCAAAATGATGGATGGTGGACAATCTCAGGAACCACTTTTATTGATTTGAAATGTTAGGGACCAAAATGATGAGTTATACAAATCTTAAGGATCATTTTGGCTATTTAGCTTAAGTAATTTTAAAGAGCACAGGAAAGCAAGCTAACTACTACATGAAATTGAACATGTATTTGTAAAACCATGAGCTTCAACGTACGGTGATATGTCACAAACCACCATGGGCAAAATCTATTTATAAAGATTCTTTGAATAACTTCAAATCCTACAAAATACAAACTTGACGGAAAAGTACTGAGTAACATCACCATGCTCCTATCTAGTGATTAATCAAACACGATAACGATTTCAGCTACATCCTATCCATTAAGCATAAGTTTTACCCAATAAAAGGGATTTTTAAATTTCAACATACAGTAAAAAGAAATTCAGAGCTAAAAAGATCCAGCCAAAACACAAATCATTATCCACCTAATCATTCCTCTAACTATTTTCCCAATTCATACCTCGTCGTACTCCTTCTTATCGGCCTTGGGTGCCTTCAAGGGCTTAGCTTTTCCACCTAAAAAACGAAACACAATTTCATATTTCTGGGCTTGAATATCCAAACGAAAGCTAACGAATTTTTAGGGTTGTTAACCCAATTTTATGGTTTACAAAAAATTGGAGTCGGAATTGGGAATTGAAACTTGAAAATCTAGGGTTTCAATCGTAAAGAATATACCTTGCTTGGAAGACATGGCTGCGATCTAGGGCAAAAGTCTTGCTCGGTTGGAATTGGGAGCAACGACAAATCCACAGGACAGCCCTATTCGCAATAATACGCAGCTGCCCTTCGTGGTTGGAAAATCACCAATTTATATTCGATATTGCTCGTGCTACTCACGTGCGTGAGGCAGCCCCTGTTTTTTGATCTGGCATGAATCGATTTTTTGGGAAAAGGATCTTGCCGGTTTCTTTTCCTAGGATTCCGTGATTGTGTCAGCATCATATTGTCAGTTTTCGTTACGTACTATGTACATTTAATTTTAAATTTTAAATTTCAAATAATTTCTGACTGTACGACGTACGATGAACGATTACGATCACAGAATTCACGAGATCCTCAAGAAAAGGATCTGACGCTAATCAGTTTCCATCATTTTGGTCATCTATCTCTAATAACTAATTTATAATAAGAGATCTTATGTGGTGCGGAATATGGCATAAAGAGATTTTTTATAATTTTATATATATTTTTTTTTTTTTTGAGAAAGTATAGAGAATTGACTTATTAGTGATTTGATAAAGTACATATTACATAAAATCAAAATAAAGGAATCTTTAATGAAAAAGAGTTTCTCTAAACTTTTTATTAACAAAAAATCATCCACTAACTTTATTTTTTACCATTGTTTCATAATTTTTTTTTGGAACAAACTGAGTAATAATATTACAAGACAAAAAATAAAGAAAATTTTTCATTTTTCAGTTTGATAAACAATGCTTATTTTAATTTCGAAATAGTGATTTTATCTTTAGTTTGGACAATTTTTTAAGTTTGTGTCATGTCATGTCAACACTAGTTATTTTACAACTGAACATTGATTATTTTTAGAATCGAGCACTAACTATTTTTAGAACTTAACACTAACTATTTCTCAAACCAAATAATGACTAACTTTTAAACTGAACACTGGTACTATCACTATTTCTTAAACTTGTTTGTACCATACTTAGGGCTTCCGTATTTGGATCTCGTATAAATACTCGGGGGACTTAAATGTAATTATGTAATAAATGAAGGGGCAAATATGTAATAAATGAGGAGCCTTTATTCTATAAAAGGACCCCTCACTCTCCTCATTAAGGGAGACCAATTTTTAGGCTATGGGAGAGAGCTCTCTCACTCTCAAAAGCTCTCTTCCTCACATACAAAGCCACAAGGCTCATAATATCAGTGTGGACGTAGCCCAAACATTGGGGTGAACCACGATACATCTTGTGTTATTTACTTTCTTGCAGATTCACGGTCGGATTTACGTTGTTCCAAGACCCCTCCGGTTTTGTGCATCAACATTTGGCGTCGTCTGTGGGAATCGACACGAAAAGCTACATCGGTTCTCTTTTAGTTTTTCATCTCACCACCGTGAGTCTGCAGAAACCCAAGAACCAAACACCTGCACAGTCACTGCAAAACCTAAAAACGAACCAACCTTCCCCAGCTCTCTCTCTAGAGAGAAAGGAAACAACTTTCTTTCTTTCTTTCTCTCTCTAAAAATATTTCAGAAGCATGGTTGGAGAGAGAAATTTGAGAATGTGAGGGAGGAGGAGCATAATCTTGGAGATACCTTTTTGTGGGTTGTTAAATTTGAGAGAGGGAGGGTGAAGATCTGGGGGTGTGAATGTTGGTGGTGGAGGAGTAGTGACTACTAATTGTATGATTACTTGGAGCTGCAGCCGCAAACGCATCCCTTTGTGGTCAAAACGCAAGAAATCCAGCAATGGATGTGATCAAAACGCAGCAAATCTCGTCAAGGCCGATCGAGAAGGTGATAGTTCACCTGTTGGTTCTGCTCGCAAGCGCGTCGTCGGAGTTCTGCTCGGCACCCCCGGAGACACCCTTCAACTCTGAGACAAGCTGCATAAGACAAGGGCGCATATTGGGCAGTTCGTGAAAGATACTTCTCACAAGCTCAAGCAAGCTAGTGAAACTGATCACCATGCCCAAGTTACTGTTGTCAAGAAGATTGCGGATGCTAAGCTTACAAAGGATTTCCAGGCCGTACTTAAAGAATTCCAGAAGGCTCAAAGGCTTCCGGCTGAAAGGGAAACAAGACTCGACCTTTGGAGGCTGACGGACGGTGCAGATCCTCTGATTAGGCAAGTGGTGCAGATACTCTCTTTCTCCATGAGGTATTTCCACTGGAAAAAGAAATCCGAGGACGAGGACAGCTCCATGCTCTTTCTACCGTCGATGTAACCAACAGCTACGCCGAGCTGACGACAATGGCCAAGGTGGGACTTTTGTTTAGGACTTTCTCACTGACCTTCCCGTACCCAGGCCTAGTCGGATTCCTGACGACCTTCGACGACGATGGTGGCGGAGCAGTCAGCGTCAGTTTCTGCTCCATATCACAGATGGGAAAAGCCTCAATGGGTAGAGGTGCCGAATTGGAAGAAAACTGAGCCGGCGCCGGTCCGTGAGAAACAAGTGTTTGAGCCATCGCGTCTCTATGCTCTGCAACCATCGATCCAATTGCCACTGCATGCAATGACACAAACTTTAACAAATTCAGCCTCTTTCATTCTCGACAAGCAGGACGAGGAGCGAAACGCTGCCGTCTTAGCCTCCAAACCTGAGTCTCGAAAAGGCCGTGAAAATTCCAATGGCTACTGCTGCAGTCACCTCCTTTTCTTTGTTTAGAAATTATGCAACAACAACTGTGAGAGCTTTTGTGACAGTGAAAGCCTCAAACACCAATTTCATAACTTCCTTTCTTCTTCTGCACTTTCGCAGATCCCTGTGCCGTGTTAGCACTACAAACAATAAGGAGGCTGCTGCAAAGTTAGCTGTAGTGAATGCCGACACTGGAGCTCCAACAATATTTGACAAGATCATATCTAAGGAAATCCCATCAAGCATTGTATATGAGGATGATCTGGTCTTGGCATTTCGTGATATCAATCTGCAGGCTCCTATTCACGTTTTAGTCATCCTAAAGCTCAATGATGGATTAACTGGCCTGGGAAAGGTAATCTATGGCCTATGATGAGAGAAAGACTACTACTGAAGAGAGAAAGACTGTTGCTGAGGACACTATGCTTGCTTACAAGGCTGCCCAGCACATAGCGCTTGCGGATTGTCACCAACTCATCCAATAAGATTGGGTCTGGCACTGAATTTCTCAGTGTTCTACTATGAGATTCTCAATCAGTCTGATAAAGCTTGCAGCATAGCCAAACAGGAGAACATGCAGGAAATGAAGTGGGAAACAAAAGCAAAAGCAGAGATAAGATTCTTTTCTTATTATTAATTTTATTATCATTCCTTGTCTGCCATCTGCAAAAGGGAAAAGAAAAATAAGAAACAAAAACAAAAACAAAAGCAGAAAGCAGAGAGAAAAACAAAAGCAAAAGCAGATAAAAAGAAGCAGACATAATTGCGGTGGTGATGTCATTATAGGCATGACCCATTGAGCAGAGGGTCGGATTTATTTTTGAATGATGTGATTTTTTTTTTATCTTTCAGAGATATCTGTATAAACCCCATCAGAGTGTAATAATAAAAAATAAAAAATAAAAAATAAAAACGGCAAGCCCAAAATAATGGGCTGGAACATTATGTGGAGGGCGAATGCCCATATGCCCAAAAGAGCCAGGCCCTCTATTATCACCAACTAGGTGATCAAAAGTACGTCCAGTACTCCAAAATTATACATGAGCATCACTCATGTCAATCATACATAAACATTCATGAGCACCACTCATGTCAATCATACATAAACATTCATGACCATCATTCATATCAACATTCATGACCATCACTCATGTCAATCAGAGCTCTAGCTTCATTTACAGAGCTCTAGCTTCGAAAGCTTCATTTACAGTGCTCCAGCTTTCAAAGCTTCATTTACAAAAGCTCTAGCTTCAAATCTTCACTTGCAAAGTTTCACCTACAAAGCTTCAGTGCAGGGTGTACAAATACCACCTCCAAACAACCGCCACTTCGACCCATACATGGATTCAATTTGAAGTCTCTAGCCAACAAACTCTATTGACTGAAGACTTGGGGACTACACTATGTACCATATATTGGGCCTCATGAAAAATACTTGGGGGACTCTAGCCCATTATTTATATACTGAGGAGCGAACCCTTATTCTATAAAAGAAACTCCCTCACTTTCATTAGAGAGCACCCATTACTTATGTATTGAGGAGCGAGCCCTTATTCTATAAAAGGAACTCCCTCACCATCATTAGATAGCATCGTCGCCTGCTGAGCAACCGCCTCGCCGCGAGCATCACTCCTAACCCATCACTTATGTATTGAGGAGCGAGCCCTTATTCTATAAAAGAGACTCCATCACCTTTAACACCACAAGCCGAGCCAACCAAGGCAACATAAGCCATAAGCCGAGCAACCTCGCAACATGTGCTACTTCTAGTTAAGCATCATTTCAGATTGAGCACCGTCTCATATCGAGTATTCAGTTTTAGACGACATCTAGTTACTTCGGCCCACACATGGACTAAATTTCAAGTCTCCAACCAAAAGACTCTTTTGATTGAAGATTTGGGGGACTACTGTTTGTACCATACTTAGAGCCTCCGTATTTAGATCTCGTATAAATACTCGGGGGACTAAAATGTAATTATGTAATAAAGGAAAGGGGTACTGGGCGTACTTTTGATCACCTGGTTTGGTGATAATAGCGGCAGACTGCCGAATAATTTTTGAAGTACTAGACGTACTTTTGATCACCTGGTTAGTGATAATAGAGAGCCTGGCTTTTTAGGCGTATGGGTCTTCGCCTTCCACATAACATTCCAGCCCATTATTTTGGCTTGCCGTTTTTTTTTTAATTTTTTAATTTTTTATTATTACCCTTTGATGAGGTTTATACAGATGTCTCCGAAAGATAAAAAAAAAATCACATCATTCATAAATAAATCCGACCCTCTTCTCAATGGGTCACGCCCATAATGCCATCACCACCGCAATTATGTCTGCTTCTTTTATTTGCTTTTGCTTTTGTTTTTCTTTCTGCTTTCTGCTTTTGTTTTTGTTTCTTATTTTTCTTTTCCCTTTTGCAAATGGTAGACAAGGAATGATAATAAAATTAATAATAAGAAAAGAATCTTATCTCCGCTTTTGCTTTTGTTTCCCACTCCGTTTCCTGCATGTTCTCCTGTTTGGCCATGATGCAAGCTTTATCAGACTGATTGAGAATCTCATAGTAGAACAATGAGAAATTCAGTGCTAGACCCAATCTTATTGGATGAGTTGCATTCATATCAACATTCATGAGCATCACTCATTCAACATTCATGAGCATTACTCATGTCAACATCCATGAGCATCACTCATGTCAATCAACATAAACATTCATGAGGATTACTCATGTCAATCAACTTCGAAAGCTTCATTTACAGAGTTCTAGCTTCGAAAACTTCATTTACAGAGCCCCAGCTTTCAAAGCTTCATTAGTAAACTAGTACTATCACTATTTCATAAATTAAACATTAATTATTTCTTAAACCGAACACTTATACTATCACTATTTCGTAAACAAAACACTAACTATTTCTTAAACCAAACATTAGTATTATCACTATTTCTTAAACTAAAAACTAGCTATTTTTTAAACTGAACACTAATACTATCATTATTTCGTAACCTAAACATTGACTATTTCGTTAACTAAACACTAATATTATCACTATTTCGTAAACTAAACACTGACTATTTTTTAAACTGAACACTAGTACTATCACTATTTCATTAACCATGGTAGAGAAAACAATGGACAACAGATGAAGCTCAATTGGAAAATGCACACTAGCATCTATGGTTTTGGGGGCCAAGAAATTAGTGGCCAATGGTTTGAAAAATAAACTTGGAAAAGGCATGTCATCAACATTAACTAGATACAAATGATTAGTTGTTATACTGATTAATGGATGAGTCGTGAATATTCTAACAAAGAATAGCAAACCCAAATAATTATTCTATACACAAGAATGTCATCAAAAGTATTATGATGGTCGAATCTCTTCAGGAAGTGTCATCCAAAGCAATTAGTCATTTAAGTCTGAAGAGAGCAGGTCTTTCTCTAATTTTAGGAAAGATGGGAGCCTATTCCATTCTCACAAAAAGTTCATATAGGAAATCATCAGTTAAGATTATTATGAGAGATAGTTTATTACATTTTCGTTGAAAATGGCGAGAGCGGGAACATGATAGGAGCATTGAAAGTACTAACTATCATTATTAAAGCTCCTAAACATGAAATAAAGAAGGAGGAAGGAGGCACGTGGGGCTATGAGGCTAGGGTTTGAAGCTACTAAAGAAAATAATAATAAAAGGTGTGGGCTGCAACATATATGGTAAGTTTGTGGAATTTGCAATGCATGTGCTTTTGTGAGGTTAATTTTTGTTTTTTATTTTTTTTTTGTCCTTATCATTAAATAAAATTATAGGATGATTTTTGGTTAAAATGCAAACTTTTGAAGCCCTTTTTATTAGTTTTCCTAAAAAAAAAAAATAATGAATTGATAGCAACAAATTTTCATCAATTTCCTTAAAACAATCAAATTTCCATATTTAGACTGAGTTAGGCTTTAAGCAAATTATAACAAATGAACTTTTTTGAACAAAAGCGAGAAATTGGTTTGAAGCTCTGGTTTAGAGTGAGCGAAAAGATTTTCTTGAGAGTTTTGATTTTTTTTTATTAAAATGAGAGAGGTCGTCTCATAAATGACAACTATGATATATATGTCTGAATTCCGCACATATTGAAAAATCTCTCATAAATGACAACTAATTGGGCCAATACACAAAATTTTAAAGTATTGAAACAAAAGCTCAATTATTTTGAAGTCCAAATAGATATTGGGTTGCTATAAGTAGGCCCAATTCTAGTTTACACCGAAGAATTGAAGAATCCTAACCTGATAATCCCAAAAGCTTAAAGTTAAAATAAGGGAACTTTTATGAAAAGAGCTTGGGCAAAGTTTATTTTAATAAAAAACCATGCTATAACCATCTAGAACCTGCAATACCATGGATTAATCAGAATTTGCAATTTTCTCAAACAATTCACTTTGTATTGAAAAAGGCAGTTAATGGACTTGATTTGATTTGATATTGTTCCCTTCTATTATTAGCACCTTCCCTTAAGCAACCTTGTTCCATCAAGCTATGGCTTTCCACAAAATGAGGCACGGAGGAAATTGGGTTTGATTTGAAGGTTAGGCAATTACAATTAGTGTATAGGTTTGCTAGGCTTTGTCGTGGAAGGAGGTGAGGAGACAGATATGATGGTGCTTTTGTGGATGGAGCTGACGATGAAGTGTGGGAGAGGGGATTGGGATGGGGTTTACGAAGGAGGGTTGGAATTACTGGGGTTGGGGGGGGGGGAGGGAAGGGAGGGAGTTACAGAGAGAGGGGAAGGGGGGAAAGGCAAGGGACATCACAGAGAGCCATCGCGGGGGGGGGGAGAGGGGGGGAATACAGGTAAACTCGTTCTTTCATCTCTTAACTTCCCAAGCGCGAGACTAAAAGGAAAGATGCAAAAACCTTTCCAGTTGGTCATACATTCTATATCGCGATGAAGAATACCATAAACATCATTGACGATGACCTGGGTTTTTTTAAGTTCTTTATTTATTTTTATTTTTATTTTTTATCCTTATCATTAAATAAAATCTAGTGTATGATTTTTTATTAAAATATAAAGATTTGAAGTCATTTTCATTAGTTTTTCTTTTTTCTTTTCGGTGTTTAGCACAATATTTTCATTATTTTTGTATTTGACATACCCCGATCCTAGAATCAAGGCGTGTTGGCCGTCACGTGAGCGTGACGTAACCAAAAGTGTGATGCGGAAGCAAAAGATATGAGAAATATGAAGGAATGAAAACCAACTACTAGCAGTAATATCCCACCAGCACGTTAGAGTGAGTTTAACAGTAAAACACACAAATTCAGAGCCTAAGAGCTAGGTGCAGTCAAGTAGGACCATAATTAAATTACAACACCCGCAGGT